CACTTGAGCCACAGCACCACTTCCGGCTTTTTTCTTTTTGCTTATGTGGTGCTGAGGAATCGAACCCAGGGCCTCATGCATGCAAGGGAAGCGCTTTACCACTGAGCCACCTTCCCAGCCCAAGGAGGATTGGGTGGGATGGGAAGTGATGGGAAGGGGAAACAAAGGAGGAGGCTACAATGCTTGATAAGAACTGTACTCATTATCTTGCCCATGTAATTGTAACTCCTTGTACAGTATTTTCACAATAAAAAAAAGAAATTGTAAGGAAAAAGAAACTCTAAAGAATAGCCTAATCTAGTTAGTATTATACAATCTTACAAATGATTATGATATTTAAATACAAACACTAAAAATCAATATTAAAAAGAAAATTCTATAATCAACCAAAATCACCATGATTGAGTGATATAGTAAAGGGGAGGTAAAAATAGAAGAATTCCAAAGAAAAATAAGTAAATCTGAGACGTTTTGTCTAACTCAGAGAGAATCAAAAGTTACTGCATCATCCTGTCGTTAATAATTAGAAAAACAAAAATCATAACCAGGCACTAGTATACTCACATATGTAATCCTAGCTACCCAAAAAGACTGAGATCTGAGGATTATGATTATGACTCTTATCTCCAAGTAGCCACCAAAAAGCTTGAAATGGAGTTGGGGCTCAAGTGGCAGAGCACCAGCCTTGAGCAAAATAACTCAGGGACAGTGCCAAGGCCCTAAATTCAAGTCCCAGGACACTTCATACACACACACACACACACACACACACACACACAAATCATACAAATAGACTTGGAGTGGTTCTTCATGCCAGTAATCCTAGCATTTGAGAGTAGAAGAGGAGGAATGAGTTCAGAACCAGCCTGGAATACACAGCAAAGTCATATCTCAAAAAAATTAGATACACATTAGGTAATTAGATATCCATTAGATATATACATTTACATGTATATGACATATACGTATAAACAATTAGATATACATTAGATAATTAGAATATATAGTAGGATGTGTACATCCTTTTAAAATACTCCTTACAAAAGTCAACAACGTAGTGCCTATCCCAAAAGTTCCTATACCAAAAAAGAACTACTGACTGTATCATAATAATAAAACAAAGGCCAAGCACAATAGTTCATTTCTGTAATCCCAGCTACTCAAGAGGCAAAGATGGAAAAGAATGTAGTTTGAAGCTAACCCTGAACAAAAAGTAAGACCTTATCTCAATCAACAAGTCAAGATGTGGTAGCATGTTATCCCAGCCATGTGGCAAACCATAGGACTGAGGTGTCCCCTGGTAAAAAGCAAAATCTTGTCTGAAAAATAACCTAAAGCATAAAGGGCTGCAACTATGGCCTAACTGACTTAATCAGCAAGTGCAAGATCCTGAATTGAAGCCATGGCACCATCAAAAAATAGATCATATAAATAAAAGCCAGATGACTAAAATGTAAGACTGCACACTCAACTGTAACAAGAAATTGTTCTTGTTCTTGTTATTTTTAAACAGCCCACTTCTAAAGGCAGAGAGTAAAAGTATTATAGAAGTACACTCTATGCTACATAGAAAAGATAAAACAAAACCTAGTGAAATAAAGGAATACACAAAGCTACTGCACAAAAGCACAGGAAAGAAAAGGCGACTATAGTAGGAGCAAAGCTACGTATGCAATTTCACCATAAAACCAGAACTTCAACCAGGAAAAAGGGTACCTGTTTTTTGTTTTGTTTTGTTTTGCTTTGTTTTTTGCTGGTCCTGGGGCTTGAGCTCAGGGCCTGGGCACTGTCCCTGAGCGTGTCTATTCTTAAGGCTAGTGTTCTACCACTTGAGCTACAGCTCCACTTCCGGCTTTTTCTGAGTAAGTTTATTATAGATAAGAGTTTCACATATGTTTCTTCCCCCAGCTGGCTTCGAACCATGATCCTCAGATCTCAGCTTCCTGAATGCTGCCCAGCATAAGATACCATTTTATATAACAAACAATATAATCTATTTTGAAACATGATACTTACTAATCTTTATTAAAATGACAACAAAATAAATTATAAGTTTGATTATAAGTAGAAATTAACATATCACTACTATACTGAGACTTCTACACGTTTTATGTATATACACACAGATTTTGTTCTCTAAAAAAAAACCTTTGTTTTAAACATTCATGATTTGCTAAACTTAATTATAGACTAGTCCATGATGATATTTGAATAAGTTCCAAAAAGTAGAAATAATTCAGTCCGCATTTCTTGACTATAATACATAATTAAAAACAGAAGCTCAAAGAAACATCCACCAGTTAAAACCAAAAATTCTCCTCTAAATAATTATTGGGTCAAAGAAGAAAGAAAATTATAAACTAATCTGTTTAGAAATAAAAATGTTTCTTACTAAATAGTATAACCTTTCCAAAATTTCTATTTAGAAATATTTTCATAGCCTTAATTTTTAAGAGGGAAGAAATCAATTGTTCAAATGAAAAGTTTTAAAAGATACCTTAATATACTAAAGTCCAAAAATTACTACTTAGAAAATATGAGAAAATATAATTTAAAAGGCTACCATTCATGATAATTTAAAAGAACCCAAAGACTAACTTTACAAAAATTATTTCTATGAATAAAGCAAAATTTCAGAGTGGTTTAAGTACTTCAAAAACCTTAAAGCCTATTGTATTTCTAATAAGGAAATTATATATTGTCACATAAATCAGTTTCTTTTTTATCTTTAATATTAGTGTACCAAGAAATATAACAAGCGCTCTCCAAAAATTGCAAGGAAATGTAAGTTTACAACAAAAATTCATATGTTATAGTCTTATTGATACAAAGGTTATATAGTATGCACTAAACAATATCTTTTATTATAAATTCCTTATGGAAAATTTCCACACAATGCTTTCATTGATGTTTTCGGGCCAACAGTTAAGTAGAGGGTTGAGTAGAGTTCCATATGAATTACATTATACTCATTTATTCATCAATGACACTCACATTAATGAGTTAGGCAAAGACATATGTCCAGATTTCACCCATCCATTAATGACATGAGTGTCTTCTTTTTTGGATCAGATAATAATTTAAAGTATTAAAAAATATTTCCTCAGCTTTGTGAATTATTCACAATATTGTGGCTATAGACATGAGACTCTTTTGTGTTTGATCTGCTTTATTGCTTGCCTTTATTCTTGCCTTTTCTATCACTTTCTCAAGTCTAAAAAATAAATCAAACTTGGATTAGTAATGTTGGCCATTTTCCATGGGGAGGAATACTCCCAATAGGCCAATTGGCCTATTCTATGCTACAAACAAGAGGCCACTGAGCGCAGAACTGGGAAGGCCTGTACAACAGCACTCCATGCTGAAACATTATAACCATGAGTACACAGAAAAAGGAACTTGCAGAGAAATATTAGAAAGAGATATATTTCTTTGTATAAGAATTTTAGCTATATATGAAAGACTTACATGGCACTTGATAGAAGAGTTAATTAAAAAAAGATTTAGTTAATAAATAATTCCAGAATAATTCATTAGCTTTTTAACAATTTAAGTTCACTGATCACTAACATAATTTCTATGTCTGTTATTTATTTGTTAAAAATACAAGAAAAATAAGTGAATATTGAATGCCTAGCAGGTTGAAAATTGTACTTTAAAGTATCAGAAGCTGCCAGTGGCTCATGACTGTAATAATATCTATTAGGGAGGCTGGATCTGAGGACTGTGATTCAAAGCTAGCCCACACAGGAAAGTCTGTGAGATTCTTATCTTCAATTAACCACCAAAAAAATAGGAAGTGGAGCTGTGGCTCAAAAGGTAGAGTGCTAGCTTTGATCACAAAAGCTCTGGGATAACACTTAGATTCTAGTTCAAGCCCCAAGTCTGGTATGCACATACAAACAAAGAAGTATCAGAAATTTTAAATAGATAGATTATATAGGTACAACTAAATAAAACATGGTAGTTCAATTAATAGGATGAGTAGAAAATATAGCACTATTTTGTGAGGTTTGCTAATTTGAAAAAAAACTAGTTAAAAGATAAAGGGATAGTAGGAGAAAAAGGGGGGGAACAATGCTTGACAGGAAATGTACTCATGTAACTGTAACCCCTCTGTACATCACCTTTACAATAACAAAATTTTTAAAAAGAAAACTACCAACCAGAACTTTAAGCTTTTCAAATGTCTCAGTATTATTTTCAAGCAATCAAAAAAAGTTATAGTCTCAAAAAACTTGAGAAATGCTTTGAGAAATGCTTTCCCAGTGTGGAATTTGAATATATCCCAGTCTGATGGGATGTTCTTCATGATGAGTCTCTCAACAGTCAAAATAAAGAATAATTAAGTGACGTAAATTAATAAGTCTGAATATTCTTCCAACTCTTATGTTGTGTGCCTTCCCAGAGGAGGTGCTAGGGAGAGGCAAGCCTCATGCCCAGGGATGTCAGAAGTTCATAAAGTCAGAAGGTAATAGTGTCAAACTCCCTGAGGGCAGGGGCAGGTGGGTGGATCTCAATAGGCAGCCACAGCTTGGCAGCATGGAATTTGGGATTGTGGTGCTCATTTACATCTCGAGGTTCTGACATGGGAGGAGATCCCACACACAAGACTGGAATTTAGGAGCCAGGCCCAAATGCCCAGGAAGGAGGACCAGAAAGAGACAGGCAACTCAAGTTAGCGGGTACATTAACAAAAGAATGCCAAAACATTACTCAAGGTAGAAGACCAAGGATCAATGAAGGAGAGTGCAAGTGCCATCAGCTTGGGGACTTAAAAGCAGCAGCCTCCTTATAGAATAGAGGTGCCACACCATGGTGGGATGTTGATAAAAAGGAGAGTACTAGAACAAGCCAGAATCTAGGGAACAATTATTTTTAGTATAATACAAAATAACACGTGTTACCTGGGCAGAAGTCGCATCGTCTTGTTGGTGATAGTTGTGTTTGATAGATTGAGATACAGAACCCCAGGGCAGCCCTCGGAAATGTGTTTCATTGACTCGTCCTAAATTAAAAGCAAACAAACAACAACAGAAGGAAAATGACTTGAAAACTCTTAACAAACCTAACAAGCTTCACAAGTTCTCTTTTATCTAGCGTCTCTTTTCCTGCCCACAAACAATTAAACAAAGATATACATGATCTGGTCTCTATATTCTTAGGTATTAGTTGAAATCAAAAGTAGAAGATAGTGGTTTTGCTTGAGGTTTCATTATTCCTCCCTTGGGAAATAATGTCTTATTCCATCACCACGACTGTTTTTCTTTCTTTCCTTTTTTTTTGCCAGTCCTGGGGCTTGGGCACTGTACCTGAGCTTTTGTGATTAAGGCTACCGCTCTACCACTTGGGTCACAGTTCCACTTTTGGTGTGTAATTGGAAATAAGAGTGTTATAGACTTTTCTGCCGGGGCTGGCTTTGATCCATGATCCCCAGATATCTATCTCCTGAGTAGCTAGGATTATAAACTTCAGTTACGAGCACTCGACACTGAAAATTCCACTTTGTGACAAGAAACTTGAGTACAAGCATCACTGTCACTCGTGACTCTCCAGACACAGGAAAGTGGTTAAAAACTCACCCATTTTAAAATCTGCTAAAATGATCCTGAAAAATAGGAACAGTAAATGCTCTCAACAACTGGACTCAGTTAAAAGTGAGTCCATGTTCACGCGCAGATATGTATCTAAATGTGACTAATTCTGTGGCTGTGGTACTAAATACAGTAAAACAACTGAAGAGATTTTCAACAAATTTATAAGTGTGAAATAACTTGAAGTAAAATACAGGCAACATACAAGTTGGGCATGAAATTCAGTGTTGGGATTAGGGCAGGGAGAATCTCAGAGTTTCAAGTAAACTTCCCCAAAGGGACTGAAACTACCGAGGCAAGAGAATGATGTGACTGAATGAGAGAGAACAATAATTTAAAACACTGACCATAGCTTGTGCTCATGCCTGAATCCTAGCTACTCAGGAGGCTGAGATCTAAAGATTGAAGTTCGAAGTTAGTCCAGGCAAGAAAATCCATGAGATTCTTAGTTCCAATAAACTACTCAGAAAAGGCCAATAGTGGCACTGTGGTTCAAGTGGTAAAGCAATAGCCTTGCACTAAAATGGGGCCTAGGGACAGCACCCAAGCCCTGAGATGAAGCCCCAGGACTGGAACAACAATTTTTAAAAATCCTAAATTAAAATTTTTAAGACCTGAGAATTTCAAATGTCGATTCCAATGAACTGCCTCTCACATAGATAAAACAGTGTAAGAGCAGATTTTATTTATTTAATGATGGTTGGTGCATTTCCTCACATATACCAATAGATCAGCCTATTTAAAATATTTGTGGCTCATGTAATATTTGACACTACTCTATTAGTCCTGGAAAGAATAGGCCATTGCAGATATCTCTATAGAAAACTTAAATCATTACAAGGCTTGGAGATGGAGTTTGGAGAATTTGATAACATCACTAGTATGGCAAAAGTTGACTTTCAAGAGTATCCCTTCCTGGGCTGGGAAGGTGGCTCAGTGGTAGAGTGCTTGCTTTGCATGTGTGAAGCCCTGGGTTCAATTCCTAAGCACTTAATAAACAGAAAAAGCCGGAAGTGGCGCTGTGGCTCAAGTGGTAGAGTGCTAGCCTTGAGCTGAAGAGCTGAGGGACAGCGCCCAGGCCCAGAGTTCAGACGCATGACCGACATTTAAAAAAAAAAAAAAAAAAGGAGTGTCCCTTCCTATTCCACTGCTATGGATGTTCAAAGTAACAAAATCTAGGAATCAGTGCATCTGTCACACTCAGGCAGGAATTGGGTGATTTATAAGGCAGCAAATCTTACAGGGGACATATGTTTCTATTTTAAATCTGCAATTCTCTGCATTCTGCTATGGGAAAGGTTCTACATGCTGATGCTGAGTAAGTAGCACAGGCCTTTACGGATCATGATGTTCCTGCTACTGCATTCATGCTGTTAGAAAGTTTTGAAGACATTCTATCACCAAATACAGGAGTTGAATATGTATAGATAAAGTATGTGCAGTACAATTTTCCTGCAAATGGGGAGAACTTAATATGTGCCCCATACTTACACAAAATCTGTCATCAAAAATGTTCAGCATGTCAATTTTTGTGCGGTTGTAAAATACGTTGGTGAGGACATGAGTGCGATGGGGTATAGAGAGGAGAGGAAACTGGCTTCCCCATGCTTGGACAGAGTGCCATAGATAAATCTGACTTTCCCTTAGCTGAGGAAGCCATCCATTCTCTGAATTTCCCTGTATTGAGGAACTTAGACATTCAGACAAATTTAGACAATGCCCATTCTCAGTCTTTAAAAGGGCTAAAGATTTGATCTCTAAATGTTTGAACACATCCATGCAAAAAAAAATTCTGTTTTTAAGTATGTCTACATTGCAGAATGGCTTATGAATTCATCCACCATGTATAGTACTTGAATTCTTCTGAATGTAATACATTTCATATGATAAACAAGTTTCGATATCAAAGCCCTTTGATGAATGAATATTACCCAACTTCTTAAATATAAGCCTGTCCGCCCAGGATATGTCTCAAAGGAAAATACAATAGCAAATGTGGCTACATAAAATTACTAACTCTTTATAACTTCTAAAATTGGACAAAACTTTGATGTTGACAAATTCAATGCAGATGGCATTGCTTTGACTTTCTTGCTAGGAAGCCAACTTTAAATAATATGTTTAATTCACAAATAGAACCAAAGCTCCCCAAGGGCAAGAACCAAACATTTACTCATTTTAAAATTCCTTCTGAAGCCAGGTGCTAGTGGCTCACACCTGTAATCCTAGCTAATCAGGAGGCTGAATCTGTGGATCACCTTCAAAACCAGCTCATGCAAAAAAGTCCCCGTGAGACTCTCATCTCCAATTAACCACTCAAAATCCAGAAATGGAATTGTGGGTCAAGTGGTAGAGCACTAGGCTTGAGCATAAAGAGGCTCAGGGACAGTGTCTAGGCCCTGAGTTCAAGCCCCAGGACTGGCAAGGGGGGGGGCAGAGACAGAGACAGAGAGACAGAGATAGATTAAAATTCCTTCTAACGCCTAACAGAGTATCTTTAGCGTATTAGGTTCTAAAAATACATCTGATAACTTCATTATAACCACAGGCAGACATCTGGAGAGCATGGCGGCAAAGATTGAAATTTCTCTTAATGAAGGATCTCATGTTCATCTTGCTGGTGGAAAAGAACAAAACTAGAGAAAGTAGAACATGTATTCTCCAGTGTGGTCTCTGACATGTCTTCCTACTCCTCCATTTCTTGAGGGCACATTTCAACATAAGGAGGCAGCTTGTTTATGCACAGGCCCCTAAGATGCTTATCCGTGCTTAGCTGACTTAGGCTGCAGAGCAGTTCTCTATGGTCTGGCAGGCAAGAATTAAACAGCTACTTTAAATGCTTCTTTTGTGTGTTAGGGTAAGGACTTGGAAGAGCTTTGAGGGTTCTAGTATTTTATATACATATTTCATTTATTTATATAATGTCTTCCATCTTTGGGAAAAAAATGTTTGGTTGTTAAAAATGAGAGTTTAAATTTCATGGAAAAAATTACTAAACAGGGACTTTTCAAAGAACTCTTAGTTCCAGAAGAGGAGATATGTGTGTAAGCCTAAGTATAAAAGAGAGCAAAAGGCAAAAAAATGTTGAAGTACTGAGACCCAGCCACAACTCAGGAAAGAGACAAATTAATCCTGTCAAAGTAACTAGAAGTGTAAGGGCTAATAGGCTGGAAGACAATGAGAAGTGATAGTTAATGGGTATAGGCTCTTTTGGGTACGGGGAAATTTTCCAAAATTGGTTGTGGTTATAGTTGTTCAACTCTTAACATACCAAAAATGATTCCATTGTACATTTTGGGTAAATGTAATGTCAACATCAATATAAATATCTTTATAGTTCCATAATGGTGTTTTTAAAATGTCAATTTTTTTAATAAAAAGTGAATGGAAGTACCAATGAAGTTCCAGAGTATTCTAATGAAGGAGCAACTGTTGGTACAGGAGTGGCGGAGTGGTGTAGAAGAAAGACTAAGCAATCCAGTAGATGGGAAAATGGGTTCAAAAACACAATGAAAACAGCATGACATTCTCAAGGAACATCAAGTGATTCATTATTAAGATAGATGATAGAACTGAAATTATAACTATGAGTCTGAAAGGTAACATGGAGGGGACAATTTGTGACATCTTTTCACTTGTGCCAAGAGGCTTAGCCTTCATCCTGGAGATCATCTATAACAAAGAGCATTATACGAGCTATTGTATTCCCATACTCTTCATCTTATCCCTTCTGGTCTCCTTAGATACTTGCTCCACTGATTGCTTCAACTGAGTTTCCATCAGTTTCCATCAAGCTCTTTACATTTTTCTGCCCCTATTTTCCTATCACCTATTTTCCTATCAATTATTTTTCTAGAAAGATCAGTTCTTAACTAATGCCCGCCTTTCTTATGTCTTGTTTACTTGCCAATTCACAGCAATTATACATAGATGCCACTGAAAATGCTCTAACAAAAAACACCACTCATCTTTTAATTCTCAAATACAGGACAAAATGACCAGTCTTTTTTTTATCTTTTTTTTTATTTTGTCAGCCATGGGACTTGAACTCTGGGCCTGGTTGCTGCCCCTCACGTCTTCAGCTCAAGGCAAGCGCTCTACCACTTAAGCAACAGCACCACTTCTGGTGTTCTGAGTGGTTTATTGGAGATAAGAGTCTCACAGACTCTTTCGAACCATGATTCTTCGATCTCAGCCTCCTGGGTACCTAGGATTATAGGCATCATCACTGGTGCCTGGCTGTCCTTTTCTTATCCGTTCATTTTGGCCAATTCTTTTTGAAAGTCTTTACTCTCTTGCATTTATGCCCTTCATATCCAACCTGTTTCACTTACTATTCCATGTTCATATCATCTGCCTGCTCCTGAATGTCAGCATTCCTCAAGACTCAACCCCAAATCCTCTTCTCCTACCTTACCATTAGCTTCATCTTATTCACCCTTATAATATGAATTGTGATTTATACAGGGATATTATTGCAAGATAGAATCTCATATTTTCATTGTTCATGATCTGTAAGTCATCTTCATACTGTGCCATTCATTAAACATTATTGAATATTTTCTACATAATAAAATCTATACTGTTGTTATCACAAAGAATAAGACACCTTACTGGGCCTTTGGATCTCTTATGTTAGTAGAGGAGACAGAAACACCATCGCTAAGGGCAAGTGTAGCAAATGGCACTGGGAGTCTATGGTGTCTTGGTAGAGGAAGTGATATGTAAGATAAGCTTAGAGACTTCCAAAAAGGAAAGTGCTGCTTTCCCTTGAACAAAGGGAAAAGCCATTCCAAGCAAAGAACACTGCATGAACAAATGTAAAAGCAAAGGTCTCTTACACAGGAGAAAGCCAAGGTGAGGCTGGACAGGGAATAAGAGGCAAGAGCACAGAGGGTCTCCAAGATCATAGCAATGCTGTTTCTTTGACTTACCCAGTAGTGTGGAATTGATGTAAGATAAGAGTAATATGGTCAGATCTACCTTTCAGGAGTATTGTGGGCTCCTTCTGAAGACAGATTGGGGGTAGAAGGAAAGATGGGGACCAGGCACCAGGAATGAAGTGTGTATTCTGTTCATTTCTATCTTTTTTGGCATGGCTGTTGATACCATGGAATCCACTACACTGCCAGGGCCCAATTTTTCCTGTCTCATTTATATAGGCATAAAACATAAATAAAATTTTGTGTAATCCTTGAAGGGTTTCCATTTGCCAGAGTCCCAACCTTGGGCATATATCTCCCAGATTAATACCATTGTACAAATAAGTAAATTTTCTTGCCAATGTTTAGTACAGTTTGTTTTTTTTCCACATTCAACCCCAAATTCACATACAGGCATAGACGCTATATGTTGCTCTTCATTGTGAGTCTAAATCTATATGAACAATGATAAAATAAGTTTCTTATACTCACAGTGAGGGATGGGCAGTCTGAAACATTCAGCTCTTGCAAGTTTTTACAGTGGCCTAAACCAAACAAGTTGCACATCACTAAACAACATATTACAAATTTTTATAGTTTTTCCATTCTATATTCAATACAACATACCCATTAGGAAAAATACAACATACCCATTAGGAAATAAACAGAAACTTTGCAAATAATGTATTCTAAGTATATGAGTTTCTCTTCCCAGGAAAATGATTTGTTTTTACTTCAAAAATAAAATATAAACATGTGTTTATTATTATTTGAGGATTATAGGAAGAAAAGGAAAGAGAAAAATACTGCTTTTAGAAAAATACTTAAAGCTTTTAACTTGAAAATATCTGGGGGGAAAATCCTGCTTTTTTCCTCCACATGCTTTTCATTTTTTTGTTTAGCATTGTATCACAAAAATCACAAACATATAAAAATTGAAAAACTTCATAATGAATGCATACAACTCTACTACCTAGATATAATTTATATTTTACTATATTTCCTTGATCACATACTCAACCATTCATCCATCTCTCAATCAGTCCTCATTTCATCTTGTTTTCAATGTATTTCAAAGTGTGTTGCAGAGCCAGGTACTGGTGGCTCATGCCTGTAATTATATCTATTCAGGAGACTGATGAAAAAAATGAAGGGAGAGTATGAGACCTTGAGTTCAAGCCCCAGTACCAGCACTAAAAGAAAACCAAAAATCAAGTGTGTTGCAGATACTAACACATTCTCCCAAGTACTTCAGCATGCATAAAAACAAACAAGCTATCTGTCATGTTTTTAAGGTTCTAATGCATACAATTTACAATTAATTGCACATAAAGAAGAGGATGCAAAGGTTAAGTGCTTGAGACCATGTCCCATGGACTCTCGGGGAAGATGAGGAGGGATGAACACAAAAAGCTAGAGGACAGACAAGCAGCTCCCTGAAAGCAGCTCAATGATGATATACTTGTAAATGAGGGGACAGCTAAAGACAAAGAAGGGGGAAAACATTACAGTGAAAGAGACCCCACTAAGTAGGAAAACTTCAAGCAAGGGGTGGTCTTGGCGTTCAAAATACTCCAGTAAACAGAAAGCACATCTGTGGCTCCTAACCACATAGCTCCATGCTAATAACAGACATGTTATTAGTTATAAGTCCATTTTGAACATTTCTTCCTTTGCCAAGAGTGAACTATGTCCTAAGCGATAAATGCAAACCAGAAATACTTTCAGAATTTTTTAAAATAAAAACAATTCTTCAAAATACACAGATTTTAAAAGTCACCAGTAATAATTAAGGAAAACATACATTCCCAAAATAGTTTAAATTAGTTTATGAGGTAAACATTCTAATAGATTACAACAGTTATGTGAGAGTAATTAAAGTATTTAATAAGTACATGGTCACACACCAGTGTCTCATGCCTATAATCCTAGCTACTCAGGAGGATGAAATCTATGAATCACAGTTTGAAGCCAGCCTGGACAGGAAAGCCCATGAAACTCATTTCCAATTAGCTATCAAAAAAGCTGGAAGTGTAACATTTGAGAAGCAAGGTGAATATTTGAGAGGTGACATTTGACCCAAGACATTTAGGAGATGTGCCATTAACTTTAAACAACTCTTAGAACCCACAATCATCAGGACTGGTGATTGGGAGACAGTGAGGGAGAAGAAAAAAAGCTGAGGATAGCCATTCTAGATATATTCTTGTTTTTACACATCAGAAATCAAAGGATAATTCTGTAAACCATAGTATTTGACTGGACTAAGAAAGGAGAATTCTTTAAACTAATGTGATGAAGAACTTCAGGTTTAAGTTTTCATCTTGCTAGGTCCTGAGTACTTCAGGAAGTATCTTACATTCATGAGTCTGTTTCATCCTCCCAACCCAACTAGAAGACATCGATGTTCATCTGTATCAGACGCTGGAGATGAACTATCTCATGGTTGCACAATTGAGCAGGTAGAAAAGCTTTGAGTCGAATTCAGAGCCTAGACATTTGGCCACTAAACAAGACAAGTAAGAGGACAAGCAGCCTCTACACCATGGTTGGGTCAGCACCTTTTTAAAAATTAGAGGCCTTTGCATTACATATACTGCTGTTTCTGTCACATGAGGTGCTTGCAGTGGGCATCATCCTGTCATTGTTGTGCATGTATATAATGTACTTTGATTATATTCACACCCCTCATTACCCTCTCTTGTTCCCACTCCCTCCCACTAGTCCCCTTGCCCTTACCAATAACCACCTTTTAATTTCTTTTTTTTCCTTAGTCTAAATTCCATCTTTAACTGTTAATTTTTTGTGTGTTTTTGCTTTTTCTTTCTTATTCCAACTTAGGGACTCCAAACACCCCTGACTGGGTCTTACTCTTCCAGAACACCATTAGTTAAGATTATTCAAACTTGAATTTCAAAGGAATATTTCCTTTGTTCCATTTGTCACACCAAGGAATTGGGAACAGCTGGATGTCAGGATGCGCGTGGTTGCCATAGTAATATTACTCTGCTTTTGCAAAGCTGCTGAGCTACGCAAGGCCAGCCCTGCTGGTTTGAGAAATCGAATAAATCACAGCCGGGCAGGTGGGGGCTGGAGAGGCTCCAACCCAGTCAAACGCTATGCACCAGGCCTTCCCTGTGATGTATACATGTACCTCCATGAGAAATACTTAGATTGTCAAGAGAGAAAATTAGTTTATGTGTTACCTGATTGGCCTCAAGATTTGCTGCACATGTTGTTGGCAAGAAACAGGATCCGAGTGTTAAAAAACAACATGTTTGCCAAGTTTAAAAAGCTGAAAAGTCTAGATCTGCAACAGAACGAGATCTCCAAAATTGAGAGCGACGCATTCTTTGGTTTAAACAAACTCACGACCCTTTTGCTGCAGCACAACCAGATCAAAGTCTTGACTGAAGAGGTGTTCATTTATACACCTCTGCTTAGCTACCTGAGACTTTACGACAACCCATGGCACTGTATTTGTGAGATAGAAACCCTCGTCTCAATGTTGCAGATTCCAAGGAATCGGAATCTGGGGAACTATGCCAAGTGCAAAAGCCCACAAGAACTAAAAAATAAAAAACTGATGCAGCTAAAGTCTGAAGAATTATGTAATGAAGAAGAAAAGGAACAACTGGACCCAAAATCCCAAGTCTCAGGGAGGCCCCCAGTCATCAGGCCTGAAGCAGACTCGACCCTGTGCCACAACTATGTGTTTCCCATACAGACACTGGATTGCAAAAAGAAAGGTTGGTATGTTTCCCTTTTTTTTGTTCATTTTCCTGGACTGTTTAAAATGCTCTTTGAGGCTTATACCCCTCCATACATTCCATCATGCTTTGGAATTTCTCATACTAGTGCCAGAAATCTTTCCCCTGGGGGCAATGGGATCTATTCCAAGTTCTTCTGGCCTCCAGCCCATGATGGTTGGTGATTATGTGACCGTAGAGGAGGACAGGAAATATCCTCAGCAGAGACAGAAACTTGAGTCCTACACATTTGTTCCTAGCAAGCTGTAGCTTTAAGAAATTCCTAATTTGTGGTGTGTGTGTGTGTGCGTGAGTGAGTAGAGTGAGTAGAGCCACAGCTCTACTTGCAGCATTTTTGTGTGTAGGTGTTCATTGGAGATAAGAGTCTCATGGACTGTCTTGCCCAGGCTGGCTTTTGAACCACAATCCTCAGATGTCCGCCACCTGAGTACCCAAGATTAAGGCTTAAGCCACTGATACTGGCCAGAAATTCCTAATTTCTCTTAAACTCTATTTGAATTATATGGATAAGCCAGTAGGTGTGAAAATATATGCAAATACCCCCTATACACCTTGACTTGCCCTCATAAAAGGTAAAAGATACTATGCATCTGGGAGAGACAACTTTAAGGAAAACTCATGCAGAAACAAGACAGGGGTGTATACTCTGAGAGGGGGGAGGAGGGAAGGGAAGGGTAAGAGGTATATTAGTAGTGCATCTGTATTTCATAACCCTTAGCTACAAGTTTTAATAAATACTTGCTAGCATCCTACATCCTAATGATTCCCAAGGTATCAAAACTAAAAGAAAAAAATTAAAGGGCTACACTTAAAATATTCAATCCAAGAGCTCTAAGACTAAGGAAAATCTATTACCTGCAAATAATTATTATTTTCCCATCTCACACAATCTTGTGCTAGTGATGAACAAGCTTTACATACACAGGATGAAGTCCTGGACTAAGTAAACAGATGGGAGATTTTAAGAAGGCTCTTAACATATTAGCAAAGATTGATGATTCAAATGTCCGCCAAGAACTGCAATTTGCTCTATGATAACAGGCCATACGACAGTGTCTATGTATTTCATTTCTGGCCTGATTTAATAATTGGTAGTATTAAAGCCAGATGTCATTAGATTAATGTCATATAGAACCTGGTATCATTTCTGTACATCCATTTTGGAAGGTTGTGATTTATTTTGTTTCCATGTGGGAAAGGGAAAGGGAAAATTAAAAAAGCCCTAACAGCCTCCTCCTACCCAGAAGAACAGAAGGCTGGAGAGTCAGGCAACCCAAAGCAGAAGTCAATTAGTTCATTTTTCAGCAAAGATATACTCAAGCCTTTCCATTTTCTCCTTTATTCTGAAGGTGGAACCTGCTGGTCAGGTCCCACTAAAGCCATGTGCTGAGGACTGTTTACTAAATAACATGCCCTTTGAACTGCATGGAATTCCATGTTATGCTAGAGCAATTCCAGCCTCATAAACTGGGACATTTTGTGCTAGCTCCTCTGAATTAGGGACAAACTACTTATTAACTGAAAATCAACAATGCTACAGATACATGCCCCGTCCCCCACCCCCGACAAATGTTATCCACAACATTTAGGATGCCAATGGAATCTCAATATATAGGAAAACTGAGGCTCAAGAGAGGTCACTCTCTTAGCCAAGACCTCATTGATAAATGGCAAAGCTGAGTCAGGGCCAATGAATTTGCCACTTCAACCTGCTGTCTTTCAGAGTTAATAAGACCATGTTCTAACTGCTGTTCTAACAAGCAAGCATCAGAGGAGTCCAGAAGACTCAGTAGATGCAGTTTCCTTGTAGCAAGATTGAGAGGAATTTCCTTGGTATCATTATGCAGAGTAGGGCTACAGGATGAAGATGCTTTAGTGGAACTGCCTTTGTAATGCTTAGATTTAAACCTGGAATTTCACATTTTTTTGAACAAATAGGAAGTGACTGTCCTAAAATTAGGCTCCTATACTTGATATCCCTGAGGACCTGGCCTTTGAACTTGCTCCAAGGAGTCAAAGAAAACTAAGTAGGATTAAGTTAATTAATTTTCTGAGAAAAATATCATCTGCACAAAATTTAAGACTTCTTCAGCTACACTACACTATTCTCTATGAAGGAATAACAGTATGTTATCTCTTTTTTTTAAAGTAGCTCTATACTGTTGGGCTTTTACCTCTTCTGATGAGTCTTGTTTCTTTCTTTTTTTCAATGATTAACAAAATTTATTATGTGAAAGAAATGATATGACATAACTCATGAAAGTGAAATTGTTGCAAACAGAAAATACAAAGCCATTTCTTCCTAAATTAGGGGGGAAATTTTTCTGTAATAAATCTGGTGATGAGTCTATTTCTGCTTTTGTCTTTTTTCCATATTTTTTTCTTTTTCCCTTGGCAATCATCAACTTAAAAAATTGTTCCCTTCTTTCCTCAACTGATTGTCTGAATATAATCTTCCATAAATGTCTCACAAATTAATTTTAAAATGTGTGACTTAAGCCCAGTACTGGTAGCTCACACCTCTAATCCTAGCTACTCAGGAGGCTGAGATATGAGGATCATGGTTGGAAGTCAGCCTGGGTAAGAAAGTCTGTGAGACTATTATCTCCAATAAACTGCTTAGAAAAAGCCAAAAGTGGGGCTGTGACTCCAATGGTAGAGCACTAGCCTTGAGCACAAAGATGCTCGGGATCAGAGCCCAGGCCCTGAGTTCAAGCCACAGGACTGGCAAACAATTAAATAAATAAATGAAGTGATTTACCAGAATATACTGTTTGTATGTTAGTATATATGTTAGGTCATATCTCAAAGGTTAATATAAATTCCTCTCCATATTGGCAACTGTGTAATTCAGAGCCTATACTTCCATGCTTTGAATATATTTTTATTTTTAATTGACACACAGTGACTACACATATAAATGGGGCAGATTTCAGTAATATATGCAATGTAAAATAATCCATAACTTCAGGCACTCACTAAATCTATGTATTTGGAACATTCAAAATAATTTGAGGGGATGAATGACACTGAAATATGTAACTGTAACCCTTCTGTACATCATTCTACAATATTTTTTTGCCAATCCTGGAGCTTGAACTCAGGGCCTGGCCACTGTCCCTGAGCTTCTTTTGCTCAAGGCTAGCACTCTACCACTTGAACCATAGTGCCATTTCTGATTTGTTCTGTTTATGTGGTACTGAGGAATGGAACCCAGGACTTCATTCATGCTATGCAAGTACTCTACTACTAAGCCACATTCCCACCCCTACAATAAATTTTTTAAATCTTCCCTATTAGCTATTTTGAAATATAAAATTATTTGTTGACAATCATAGCTATTCTTCTATGCTACAGATCATTGGAAGCTATTCCTCTACATCACCTGCACCTGTGTATCTGTCAATCTTTTTTTCTCCATCATCACAATCACCATCCTTCCAAGGCATGGCAGAATTATACTCTAGATTATAATGTGAAGAATAATTTTGTTTCTTTTTAATCAACATAAATGGCTGTGGTTAACAGAAACATATTGCTTCTTTTGGTCATTTGGGATTTTTTTGTTTCACTGTTAATTTTTATTTTAATTTATATTATTCATTCTAATAAGCAAAGGTCTGGTCTACTAAACTTTCTTGGGTAATGCCTGACCCAGGGTTATGTGCTTTAGACTAATGATATTAACTGGGTTGCCTTTCTTAGCTCTTTCAAAGCTTTAAAAATGAAAATACATAGAAGTTGAAAACCAGGGCTAGAATTAAAATATGACAAACTGATGTTCATCCCACTCTAGGTTTCCTTATTCCATTCTATAAATAGCTAACAAATGTCAAATATTATACATCAATGCCTAGCAGTATTCATCATTAGCTCCTTACAGGAAAGTATAAATATTTTGTATTATTATGCTTTACTTGTTAGTAATGTATAATATGTATAAAATGTATATTCTGTAGTTGTTAGATTCTACATGGTATCTAAGGAAGCCTTAAGCATGTCATTAAGAGAGGGACTTGCAGGGCTGGGAAGGTGGCTCAGTGGTAGAGTGTTTGCCTTGCATGCATGAGGCCCTGGGCTCGATTCCTCAGCACCACATAAGCAAAAAGAAAAAAGCCGGAAGTGGCACTGTGGCTCAAGTGGTAGAGCACTAGCCTTGAGCTAAAGAGCTGAGGGACAGTGCCCGGGCCCAGAGTTCAGGCCCCCACGACCGGACCCAAAAAAAAAAAGAGAGGGACTTGCAGTAATACTAATGAATAAAAGCTACCACCTAAATGCTCAGTGGCTATGAAATGTTATGGCTTTTACAGATTATCACTTCTCATAATTCTAAAAATGCTATTATGCTGAGTGCCATGGCTGAGATCTGAGCCTTGACAGCAAAGTCCATGAGACTTTTATCACCAATTAGCCAACCAAGCAACAAAAAGGCCAGAAGTGGAACTGTGCTCAAGTGGTAGTGCACTAGTCTTGAGCAAGGATAGCACCCAGGTCTTGAGTTCAAGCCCCAGGACATGCACGCATGCGCATACACACACACACACAGTGCTATTATACTCATTTTATAAATAATAAAATAAAGGTAGAGAGAGGTTAACTTGCCCTTCAAAGGTCACACAGGCCATGAATATTCTGGTTTCAAGTCACTGGCAACCATGCAATGTCACCTCATCTCTCAAGATCCTGGGTGTAACAATTATACACCCAGAATTATTCAAAAGAATTGACTAATGCCCACTATGCTTCCTCCCAATATTGAATCCTCCTTGAGGCTCTGTATACAAGTACCAAATATACAATCATGTACAGGGCATAACCTGGACTACTGAGTCCTGTACTCAAAATCGGAGTCTTTCCCACTGACCTGCAGTGAATCAGATGTGTGTAGGGTGCCTAACATGTGCCAGTTCAACCACATAGACCTCAAAAATGACTATTTTTGCCTTATATATCTGACAGCAAGAAAAAATAACAGCTTTATTCACTGAGAAACAGGCACTTTGCCAACAGAATTTACTCTTTCAAAGGAAATAAATGTGGACTTAGTTGAAAGGCATATGTAAGCCATATTGAAGGGAATGGATTTGCCAAAAATACATGAAAATAAGTTTTTAAACTTCTATTTACTATAGAATAAGTTATCATTTTTACTTCTAAGGTCAGGCTGGGGAGAATTATATAGGTAAATTGTCCCTAGCTGCTTCTGAAGTTCGGGGCACAATTTTTTCCCTTGGATCAAATGACAGTTAAGAGTTATTATTTGCAATAAATAGGTCCATTACTATTTCTTTCGAAACTAATTAGTTCTGAGGTTGCTGGCAACCAAGATGGCCCAGTATGTTACAAAAATGCCCCTATTTCCTCCTCAAAGTCCGTAAAATTGGATGGAGACCATGCTTCTTCCAGACAACAGTCAAGCAGATACAGTATATGTTGTGTTTATCAAGAATTTCAAGTAGCAGTAAATATAAAATATAAATACCATGTGGAACCTGGTCTAGAAATGACCACATGGATGAAATTTGACTTTTAGTATGGAAAATATTCCTTATTTTAATCTTTATAAAAAATAACCATCCTTTGCATCAGTATTTGTAATTTTCATTCAAGTTCTAAGATAAAAGAATCAAAGAAATGTTTTTATTCATTAATTAAACAAATGAGGTTCACTTATGGCTTTCTAATCTACACTAGTAAATGCTTTGGTTTGCAGTTCCCATTACTATTTGTGGATCCTATTTTTATCCAAAGATGCTGCTAACAACTCCAAAATTGGTTCCATAATTCACTTTTGTCCCAACACCCATAGGTCTGCCACATTGCCCAAGCTGGATTTCTGGGTATTCTTATGAACATTTTTTTCAACCCATTTATTTGTGGTCAACCCACTTTTTAGCTTGTCTTATAGTGGTTGCTCTGTCATCCACCCTCTTGTCCAGACCAGATATGGGTTTGGAAAGCAAATCCTAGTAAACAGGCTCATTTCTAGAATGAAGGAGGTGCTGCAGCCTTTAGTAACTTCTTATGGCCTAGTGAAGGCTCTGGCTTTCATTTATAAGATGGAAAGCCACTGGAGGATTCTTTCATCAAAAAACCATGTGGTCTGACTGTGTGTTCATAAAATTGAACAGGCTTAGCACCCCACTGGACTCATCCACTCAAGAAGTGATGGTAGCTTGTAGGATCCTGGATATTTTGAAGTAAAAAGGCTACTCTTTTCAAGCCTTTTATAAGAAGATGCTATAGCCATTTTCAACAATCATCCCAAATTCTAAATGATAAGAAATTATGTCTTCTATCTGTTCTCAGATCCCAATTATCCATTATTTCTGAATATTGCTAGGATTTTCTTGCTGACATGTAGTGCTCAAAACAATATAACTCCTGCTGTCCTAAAGGGAGAATTACCTCACTGTTAAAACATTATAATTAATTTCAAATCTTGAGAGCATTTCCTTTTCAATATATTGGCAGACACAACTCTAGATCAATTAGAACAATGTTACCAGAATATAGAGATAATGTAACCCTCAAATTTCAAAGTACTCAACAAACATTTAATGAGAGCTAACTATTTATCATATATTAGTTATCTATTGCTATGTAACAAACCATATCCAAACTCAGCAGCTTAAGATAATCTCCATTTCTATGGGCCAGGAAACCCAATAAGGCTGATCTGGTCCTGTGCTTTAGGATCTCTGTCAAGGCTGCAATCAAAGTATGGACTAGAACTTCAGGCTATGATCACATCCAAAGGCTTAACTAGGAAACTGTGTTCTTGTAAACTTATGTGGTATAGGCAGGATTCAGTCATTCAGGACTGTCTGGACTATGAACCTCAGTTTCTTCTTGGCTTTTGGGTACTTTTCATTATTGTCTGGGCTGGACTGGACTTTGATACTCCTAGTCACACTAGCTAAGATAACAAAATGACAGATGTTTCTGTTTAGATGGGCCAGGCTCTAGAGTAGCTATGGCAAGAGCCATAGCTCATGTAGTGTTTATTATAGTATTTAGAACTGAAGCATATGGATGTTATAATCCTATCAAAAAAGGAGAGCAAGCTAGTGTTAATGGCTCTCTCCTGTGATCCTAGCTAATCAGGAGGCTGAGCCCTGAAGGACTGAGGATCAAAGCCAATCATGGCAGAAAAGCCTGTAGACTCCATCCCCAGTGAACTAGCAAAAATGGTGTATATAATTGAGCTCCAGTGGCTCATGCCTGTAACCCTAGATAGTCAGGGACTGAGATCTGAGGATCATGCTTTGAAGCTAGCCTAGGCAGAGTAGTCCATAAGACTCTTATCTCCAATTAACCACCAGAAAACCGGAAGTGGTGCTGTGACTTGAAGTGGTAGAGTGGTAGCCTTGAGCAAAAAAGCTCAGGGACAGCACCCAGGTCTTGAATTCAAGCCCCACGACTGACAAAAAATGCTGGAGGCTGGGAAGGTGGCTCAGTGGTAGAGTGCTTGCCTTGCATGCATGAGGCCCTGGGTTCGATTCCTCAGCACCACATAAGCAGAAAAAGCCAGAAGTGGTGCTATGGCTCAAGTGGTAGAGCACTAGCCTTGAGCTGAAGAGCTGAGGGACAGCGCCTAGGTCCAGAGTTCAAGCCCTACAACTGGCAAAAAGAAAGAAAAAAATGCTGGACTGGAGGCAAGGCTCACATGGTAGAGTGCCAACTGTAAACAAGAAAGTGGAAGTGGAAGGCACTGAGTTCAAGCCCCAGTACTGACACCAAAAAAAGAAGAAAAAAGAGGAAGGGGGAATGAAAGTGGGATGGGGAGAAGAAAGAAAGGAGAGGAGGAAGAGGAGAAAGCAAATTCAATCACATAATGAATAAAAAATAAACATCTGATAGCATCCTAATAATTACATGCCTTCTAAGCCATTAACAAGAGAGTAAACAATAAATCTGAGTCACTACGATTGTGAATATACCAGGGGCTCTGAAATAATCAATTCTAGATATAGTTAGAATTTTTTAAATTAATATTTGGTATCCTTAATTTGATTATTCTGTACCAAAAAGGGCACTGTGGATAAATGAACATAATTCCCAGTTCTAAGCATTTTTATTTCTTCAGAAAGACTTTGGGTAGTGTTATTTCTTAGATGTAAATTAATCTTGACATTTTATTATTGCTTCAAATTTTCCTTCATGGGAACAAGTTTGTTTCTCTTCACAGGCTGCAACTGCTCTGTTTAAAACTAAGTAAGAGGGACTGGGAAGGTGGCTCAGTGGTAGAGTGCTTGCCTCTCATGCATGAGGCCCTGGGTTTGATTCCTCAGCACCACACAAGCAGAAAAAAAGCTGGAAATGGTGCTGTGGCTCAAGTGGTAGGGCACTAGCCTTGAACTGAAGAGCTGAGGGACAGTGCCCAAGCCCAGAGTTCAGGCCCCATGACCAGCAAAAAAAAAAAAACAAAAACAAAAAAAACTAAGAGTTCAAAATATTTCGCTAAAGATTACAAGACAGAGCAAGTATTATACTAAAATATAAAACAGACATGGCTCATGTATTTTGAAAAGTATGATTAAAGGTAGAAAAAATGTACAGTAAATAATAAAATTAAATGAACCTTGTTTCTGCAACTTGGGTTCCTCCTATAGGGGTTTTTCCTATATTACTATTAAGAATAGCTTGTTACAATTGCTGTCTGAGAAGCCTGTTTACTGCTGTACTGGAAGAAGCAGGGAGGGGTGCGATACAAATGGCATTAAAGATTCAGGAATTAAGTGGTGAAGAAGACAAGCCAGGGCAGTAGGTCGAGACTCCGCTTGAATTTTAGCATCCAAGGAAAGAAAGAAACAAGTCTCCTCTGCCATTTGAGTTTTGTAGCCTATAAATTTATTTTACATGGCTGAAATAAATAGAAAATCTTACAAGTAAACAACTATATTTTAAATGACTTTTATTAAAATAAACAAAGATCCATAGATAAGTATTTCTATATATTTCTGGAGATATCTATATATAATTGCCCTGTAATTAGGTACTGTTGTTAATCTCTTACTGCTTACTGTTTCTGAATTAAATATTACCATAATATTGTATAAGAAATGCAATGTGTATAGGGATAGGCGGTATCTGAGGTGTCAAGTATCCTCTGGGCGTTATGAAGTACTCTTCCTCAGGATAAAGGAGGATTATTGTAATGCTTGAGATCAAGAAGGCCAAAGGTTGGTTTGTTTTTCAGAATAGAGGGACATGAGTTTGTTGGCAGAGTGAGCCTAAAAAGATGAATGGATGAAAGGAGAATGTAGCAAAAGAATAATCCTGCAGCAGGGGGGCCGGTGGCTCACGCCTGTAATCCTAGCTACTCAGGAGGCTGAGATCTGAGGATCATGGTTCAAAGCCAGCCCGGGCAGGAAAGTCTGTGAGACTCATCTCCAATAAACCACCAGAAAACCGGAAGTGGCGCTGAAGCTCAAGTGGTAGAGCACTAGCCTTGAGCTGAAGAGCTGAGGGACAGCGCCCAAGCCCAGAGTTCAAGGCCCATGACTGACCAAAAAAAGAAGACGAATCTTGCAAACTCCTCAGAAGTGGGAGGAGAATGGAATATACTTTTCCATAGTTAGGCCTTAGAGGTTTCATGTTGGCTTTTTTCCCCCAAATGCTTTGTTGATAATTGTAGGGGAGCCAGGATTGACAACATCCAACCCCCTCCCTTGCAGCTTCCCACCCAAGTGGCACAGTAAGCTTGACCTTCCTTTTGATTTCCTGCCCCTGCAGCTGGGGACTGTCTCTGAACAATGTGTGAGACCCCTCCCTCAAGGGCCAATGCCCTTGATCCCTGGGCTTTGAGAGATTTCAGCCCATGCTGAGTATCACTTTTCTTTGGCTTTGGATACTCTTTACCCCCTTTAAAAGCTGATATTTCAACCACACAGGTTTAAAGGCCAAGAGAAAATGCATAAATGCAAATGAGAAGATAACCTTAATACTATTAATTTTTCCAGAGCTGAAGAAAGTTCCTAACAACATTCCTCCAGATATTGTTAAACTTGATTTGTCTTACAATAAAATCAAGCAACTTCGACCCAAGGAATTTGAAGATGTTCATGAGCTAAAGAAATTAAACCTCTGCAGCAATGGCATTGAATTCATAGATCCTGGTAAGTCCTGCTGTACAGATTCATAAATAGTTGATGAGAGTCTTGTGCGTTGTTATTTTGTGTCAACATTTAAAGTAAACATATTTGTTTTTTTAAAAAAACTAAGCTAAACCAAAGAAGTGTGAATTTTAATAAACATGACACTTAAATTAGCACTCAGAGAAATATTTGCCAAAACACTGCCTTATGGAGTACGTGAGACGGTATTTAGTCCTTAGTGTATCTTGAGGATTGGTTCCAGGAGCCCTCTTGGACACCAAAATCCAGATGTTCAAGTCCTTTACATGAAATAGCATAGTATTTGCATATAATACATTCCTCTCCGATACTTTAAATCATCTCTAAGTTACTTATAATCCTTAATACAAAGATACAGTGCAAATGCTATGTAAATAGTTGGTAGACTGCGTTGTTTAGGAAACACTAATAAGTAAATGATCTGTCCAGTACAGACTTTTTTAAAAAATATTTTTTTCTTTTTTTCAAATGTTTTTTAATCTGTAGTTGGTTGAATCTGAAAATACACAACCCATAGATACAGAACCCTGATTATATAGTCCTAAGCAATATTTCCCCTCTCGCTCCATCCGTTTTATTTTTCTTGGAGGTACTGAGGTTTAAATTAAGGGTTTGTGTTTGCTAAGCAAGCACTCAACCACTTTAGCCACACACCAGCCTTTTTGCTTTAGTTTTCAGATATGGTCTTATGTTCTTTCTCTGTTGTTCGGATGACAAGTTTGTGCCACCACACCCAGTTTATAGGTTGAGAAAGTACTTACTATGTCATTTGGCACTTTTTTGGTATATCCCATGGAACAAAAAGTATCTGAGTACTTGATACAAAGCAAGCAAAGGGAGCTAAGGAATTTTTAAATGAAAGAGCTATCATATTTCAGGGTCTTTGAAATAAAGCAGTCCCAAAGTAGATTTACTTTAATGAATTATACAATTAAGTATGCAAATACAGGGAGAGGTGCCAGACTTTAAAAGGCATGAATAACAATTTCACAAAATGCCAGGCATTATTGTGGGGAGAAGGGAAAGAAGCCATCCTACTAGAGTTGAACCTTCTTTAAGAATGTAACTTAGCTTTTTCAAGTGTCTGCCTACTTATGGTTTAATTAACAACGATAACACTTTAAAAGTAAAATCTAGGAATGTTTATATATGTTTTCAACCTGCTGGGCTAAGTTGTTTTAAGAAAAGTAAATCTGCATCAACATCAACTAACAGAATTTTAGCTAATAGAAAAAAAATTAATGCTATGTCTTTAGAACTGTCATCACAAGAGTGGACCTTTCCTCTCTCAATTGCAAGATGTGCTTTGTGCCAAAATACAAAGTAGTCTTTTAAAAAAAGAAATTGGGTTTGGTCCTAGAACAAATGATATAAAATTAGTTAATGGTATTGGTCTAACAGCATTCCAAATTTAAAATAACGATACTATATTCTAATGAGGTTGTTTTGGAACTGTAATGAGAAAATGTTAGAAATAGAAACAGAATATTTGAAATCAGGATTGAGCTGTAAATTCTAGAGTGTCTGGCTAGTCCACATCAACTAAAGTAGGAACAATGTACATACAGATTTCTTTGCTCTTGGAAAAGGGGGAAAAACAACTTCTTTTGTTATGTGTTTGGTATTTGGATAATATCCAGCCTCCAACAAAATCAAATACACATGGATTCAAAACTGATAGCTACCATAGCTTACCCAAACACAACCAGATGTTTTCAGATTGTTGGCAGAAAGTATTTGGTTTTGAAGTCTACAAGAATAGAATGATTTCCCTCAAACTGGGAAAAGATTTTCTAGGCATTTTTAGAACTGATATCCCAGGAAGCTCTCAACTCACCACCAGGAACATTTTTCTTTTTACTTTTTTATCTGCACTATTGTCTTACATTGATATCTCTTCTTTATTGACATTTCTTTTGTGGTATCTTTCCAATAAATATAAAATATGTACCAGAAAATACATAATAATTTTTGGCAGTACTAGAGATTGAACTCAGGGCCTTCTGCTTGCTAGGCAAGCACTCTACCATTTGAGCCACATCTTCAATCAGAGATTACATTGTTTTAGAGCTATTTTAAATTTTATTTTTCAAATAAAATACTGTACTTATCAACCTAATCAAAGGGAAAACATTATTTAAACAATAATAAACTTGGAGGCAACAATACCTTGCTCATGTAATTGTAACCCCTCTGTACGGTATTTTCACAATTAAAAAAAACTAAAAAATAAAAAATAAACTTATAATAAACAACAATAAACCAGAAATTTTACATGGCAAATGTATACAGTGGAGAAATATAACTAAAAATAAAATCTCCCAATGCAAAAATCTCTCTACAGAAGTAACGGAGAAAGAACACATTGTCTTTACTGAAGCAATGTATCTGAGAGTGATACAAAGCACAGAAAATCACTACATATTCCAAAGATAGAAAGAAATTTCACCACCACAACCACAGATACTACCTATCCAACACATTTTCAGTGCCCAAATGAGAGAACTGGGCAATGCATTTGTCATGCATCTCTCCTCTAAACTTACCTTGTTACTAGAGTGACCATCTGAGTTAGCTCCTTGGCTTTAGCTAGAGGAAACTTACTTAAATCTTTAGGGCAGGAGGTGTTGGAGGTGGTGTTTTTGTTTTTGTTTTATTTCCTGTGCCAGTCCTGGTGTTTGAGCTCAATCCTGGGCACTGTCCCTGTACTTTTCTCTTCAAGGCAAGGCTAACATTCTACACTTGAGTCATAGCTCAACTTCTAGCTTTTTGGTGATGAATTAATTGGAATTAAAAGTTGTACATAGAAGCTTTCCTACCCAGGGTGGCTTCCAACCCCAATCCTCAGACCTCAGCCTCCTGAGTCGCTAGCATTAGAGGCGTTAGAGCTGTTAGTTTCCAAAAAAGTCAGGCTTCTACTCTCACACAAAAGCTGGGGATGGAACCCTAGCTCCCTAGGGGCTTATATGTCAGCGCTGGCTCCCAGGTCCTGGGTAAAGGCGTTTCTGGGTTGACAAATCATCTATCCAGTCTTCAAAAAGATTAAGGACATTTCAAAGAGTAGAGAAAGTACTAATAGTGACAAGTTTTCTAGAGTAAACTCTGAGAAAAATAAAGGAAGAGAAATCTCTTCCTTTGGTGTCAATGGGGAGAATTAATCCCTTTATTTTTAATGCATATTCATGCTTATTATGCAGCATATGCATCTGTATAACTCTTACTCATTGGTTTAATAATATTTCTTCTGTCTAGCTGCTTTTTCAGGGCTGACACATTTGGAAGAGCTAGATTTATCAAACAACAGTCTGCAAAATTTCGACTATGGAGTGTTAGAAGACTTGTATTTTTTGAAACTTTTATGGCTCAGAGATAACCCTTGGAGATGTGACTACAACATCCACTACCTCTATTACTGGCTAAAACACCACTACAATGTCCATTATAGTGGTCTGGAATGCAAAATGCCGGAGGAATACAAAGGATGGTCTGTGGGCAAGTACGTTCGGAGTTACTATGAAGAATGTCCCAAAGACAAGTTACCAGCATACCCTGAGGCATTTGACCAGGATACAGATGATTATGAATGGGAAAAAATAAGTAAGGATCACACAGCCAAGAAGCAAAGTGTGCGCATCACCATAGTGGGATAATTTAGCAACAGTTCTAATTGCAACTAGTTTGGGACTTGCTATGTTGGTGTCAGAAAACTGTGTGTTTACATTTTGATTGACTGTGTTGCCTATTTATGCAGAGTTACCCAGCTATGAGAGGCTTGTTTCTAATTGTTTTGTGTGTAATCAAGAAAATGCTGTCATCTTGCTTGCCTGTCGTCTCAAGCCATCTGGAGACACACAATCCCACACTGGTAACCTGAAGCTGGGTCCTAAAGATGGCATTCTAATTTTGAAATGTTCTGTATAAACACTTTTTAAAACTGCTTTTTGAAAACAATAAAACCTTGATTCATTTATCTATGCCTTTTACTAGCTCTTTGTACACACCTAAAGATGAGAAAATTTAAACAGATAAAGATGCTTAGTTGTAATAAAGTGTCATTCCTTCCTGCTTTTATTCAGTAAGTCAATTCATGCATTAAATCTTCATTTCTGACATATACACATATATATGTGTATATATATATATATATATGCATCCCTACATTATTTACTGTGAGGCATCCAACAAAACTGTTAACTTTTATGTGTTGTCAGAGAGATGTAACAAATTCATTTATTATGTCCAGAAATCTTAGAGTGGAATACTAAAGACATGGAACCGCCTCAATATTTGGTAAAGAAACCAGAGCGTGATCAGTAAGAAGGCAAGAGATGCACCCAGATCACTCCAGAAAGGATTCTGGAGTAGAATGAGGAAATTTAATCTGATTCAGAGAATGGTCCCAGTTGTTCTCTGGTTTACTTTTTTAGAGGCTGATTAAGATTTAATTGGTTAATTTTTTTTAATATCCAATATCACCCCTAGGGATCTAATTGGAAGTAAAGAGCACATTGAAACAGAATTAATCCAAAAGTAAATCAGCTGGAGCTACAAATGTCTCTCAGGGCCTTGGTTTAAGTATGTTTTGAGAGCTTAAGAGTCTCTCCTTTTCTGTATTTATACTTTTTGAAGAAACCACAGTTGGTTTCTGATGGAATAAAGTAGACTCTTCCCTTTCTACCAAATTTTACTTCTTGGTTACTCTAATAACTTGCTTTGGGGCTTTTCTTATGTTCAATAAATGATGCAGTTCAGGAGACTAAAAAAATAGTAAGTATTCTCCATGCTAGTAAAAAGTATGATAATCCTGAGATCTACATATGAACAAAAATCTAATCTTTGAGTAATTTAAATGTTTTTAGAACTTTCTTGCTAAATCTAAGATTGTCTGATGTTTCTTAAGTAAACAAGATTTACTATAAGCTGGGATCTCAAAGTCCTAAGCTTATTTTCTCTGACCCTAATGTCTGGCAATCTGGGAACTATCTAATATTCATTTACTCACAGTTCCTCCTCTGACAGTTATTCTCTGGATCAATTTATATCTGTTTCCATGAAATCTCAACAATTCCAGCAAATAAAAGCAATTTAGTAATAAGAATCTACTTGCCTAAATTGTATAAACCTATTTACTCATTTCCTTTTCAACAGCTTAAGATAACAGTTTGAGGTTAACTTCCTCTTAATACCTTTACTGACACCAGGATTACAACTGTTGTATTCAGTCAGCCAAACAGCCCAAAAGATCAGCCAATATTTATCTTAATTCTAAAAAATCAGAAAAGCCATACCTATTGCTAGAAATTGTGTAATTCTAGATATATTGATAGATGAGCTGAGAGTTATAGGATAGAACAACAAAAACATCTTTAAAAATGATTTATATCTTTTACTATACTGCCAGAAATAAAACTGGTTTTATTAAATTATCAGTGGCAAATTAAAAATATCACAAAGATGAGGTCAACATAACATTTACTTCCTTTAAAAAAAAGTCTATTCAGGATTGCAAGTGTAACTGTACTAAGATTACATGTCTAGATAAATAATAAACATAACATTTTAAAAATGGCAAACCAGCTGGGCACCAGTGGCTCACACATTCTCAGAAAGTTGAGATCTAAGCATCACAGCTCAAAGCCAGCCCTGGCAGGAAAGCCTAAAAGACTATTATCTCCAATTAACTACAAAAAGTCAGAAGTGAAGCTGTGGCTCTAGTGCTAGCCTTGAGCCAAGAAGCTAATGGACAGCACCTAGGCTGTTCAATCCCCAAGGCTGACACAAAAAGAAAAAAAAGATATATCAAGAGCATGAAAAGATAACTATAGACTGGAAGGATATTTTGTTACCACATACCTGTTATCCAAAATTGCAAAACATCCTTAAAACTGAACAATAAGGAGACAACATATCAAAGACTATGAGTTGCTCCACATCATATGTCAACAGGGAAATGTTAAAACAGCAATGAGCTATCTCTACACAGTGATTAAAATGGTCCAAATCCGAGTGGGCAGAGCCCAATTTGCCTTACGTTCAGTGCGTAACCAGTCCGTGGAAGCTTTGGTGCATGATAGGGTATGACCTTGACAGTGATTGGCTCCTCTTCCTCCCCTGCCATGCCACCCACTCTTTTTTGCTTTAAAAAGGGCTGCTCTGTGTTAATAAACTAGTTTCTTCCTGCTTGACTTGAAAAAAAACATGGTCCAAATCCACACATCATGTATCAACAAGGAAATGTTAAAACAGCAATGAGATATCTCTACACACTGACTAAAATGGTCCAAATCCAGAACACTGGCAACATTAAATAAATGCTGGAGGAAATGTGGAACAGCAAGAACTCTCATTTGCTGCTGATAGATTGCAAGTTGGTACAGCCTCTCTGGAAGAGATTCCTACTTTCTTACAAAACCAAATATTCTCTTGCCCTACAATCTACCAATAGTGCTTCTTGGTACCTAAAAAGAATGGAAATCTCATGCATAAGTCTTAAATATCTCTCAAAACAGGTATAGCAGGCGTGGTTGACAGCATGTAGCACTTCTGGGAAGTGCTGAAACCTTTAGGAGGCATAGCTTAGTAGTAGGAAGTTAAGTCATTAGTGTTATGCCCTTGAAAGGGATATTGGAAACTCCCTCCTCCATGCCTCTGCTTTCTGGTCATTGTAAAGTGAACAACTTTTCTCTATGACATCTCTAGTGATACACTGTTTCACCACAGGCTCAAAAGCAACAGAATAAAGTGAAAATGGATCAAAATCTCTAGCACCATGAGCCAATGTAACCATTTCCTTCTTTCAAGTTATCATAGGTGTTTTGTCATAGCAGCAGAAAGCTCATGCAACCTATGTCCACAACAGCAACAACAACAAACTAACAAATGGATGCATAGGACAGTTTCATAATTGCCACAACTTGAAATAAACTAAAATGTTATCTAGTAGTGAACTAATAAATAAACCATGGTATTCTCCGACAAAAGGTGTTAAAAGGAAATAAGTTCTCCTGCTATGATAGGACAAAGAAGAAATTTAATTGTGTGTTACTAAGTGAAAAGAGCCTCTCTGAGGAGGCTCAAGTGGCAAAGCACTTGACTAACAAGCTTGAGCTTCTGAGTTTAAAAAGAAAAAATAAGCTACTAGTATATTATCACCATCATATGGTATGCTAGAAAAGCAAAGGAATATGGGCAATTAAAAAAGTCAGTGCTAAGACAGGCACCAGTGGCTCACACCTGTAATTCAAGCTACTCTGGAGGTTGGAACTGGAAGATCATGATTCTAGGTCAACCAAGAAAGAAGTCTGAGACTCCATTTCCAAAAAAGAACCAGCAAAATGCTGAACTGGAAATGGGGCTCAAGTAGTAGCAACAATTGGTAAGCAAACAGAAAACACGAAATTTGAGTGCAAATCCTAGTCTCAGGAAAAAAAAGGGTGGTTTCTAGGGGTTGTCAGTAAGAAAGGGGTGAATGAATAGATCCAGAAGCATTTTGGAATAAAGAAAATACTGCGTTTAAAACTATAAAGATGGATTTATATAAATATAAATTTGTTATATTCATATAATATAAAACACCAAGAATTAAAACTCATATAAACTACTGACTTTGAGTCATTATAGGATCACCAAGTGAATGGCTCTGATACGGGATAGTGATGGGCTATGCATGCATGCAGGCAGGGAATACATGGGAAATCGTTGTACCTTCTGCCCAATTTTCCTAAGAACTTTAAAAACTACTCTAAATTGGCAATGGTTTAACTAGACTGACTAGAAAGAAAACTAATATTACTTAAGTCAGAAATGCAAGGTATATTAGTGGCAATTTTTCAGAAATAAAAAGGAGAATGTTATGAACAATTATACTTAAAATAATTAGATAATCCACCTGAAACTGATAAACTCTTAGACACATCCAAACTAAAAGAAATGTAAAATAATATATCCCTTTCTAGTTAAAAGTGAATATATTTTAACTCATATATGTATTTACAAAAGAATATACATATGTAAATATATTTTAGCAAAACTGATAACATTAGGTACTTTTTAATAAGTTAATGGATGGTTTGAAGGAAATGAAAAAGATGAGTTTGCTATTTGTTGGATTTTTTAAAATAAGAACATGCCTTTGTATTATATTTCTAATAGACAAATTAATGATATACAGATAAGCAGATACTAGACAAAAACAGCAATCAAGAAGAATGGACAAAAAAATGAACTCCCAGAGCATACAATCCAGTAAGAACTAACTATATTAAACACTTTTTTTTGGTCATGTGGCTTGAACTCTGGGCCTGGGCACTGTCCCTCAGCTCTTCAGCTCAAGGCTAGCATTCTACCACTTGAGTTACAGTGCCACTTCTGGTTTTCTGAGTGGTTTATTAGAGATAAGAGTCTCACAGACTTTCCTACCCAGGCTGGCTTTGAACCATAATCCTCAGATCTCAGCCTCCTGAGGTAGGATTACAGGTGTAAGCTACCAGTGCCTGGCTTATATTACACACTGTTAAAATGGCTGCAACTAACATTCTTTGTGACTCATGTGCCATTGAGGTTTTCATGTTATTTAAACTTTTGTTTACAATTTCTATATTCATTAACTGGCATACAAGCAATCAAGACAAATAGCTATACTGAACATACTTACTGACAGCTCTCAATGTTTTTGTTCGGAGAAAAACACCATGAAAATTCAAACGTAGCACATTTAGACGCCACTTTTGCAAAGTAGACACTACACATTTCTCTGAAATGGTTTCTGATATAGAAAAATCTATCTGAAAAAGCATGAACAGAAGACATTTAGAAATAAGAAAGATCTGTTTTATGTAAAAATGTTAAATATTTTAAAGCATCAAATGCTAAAAGTTCCTCACCAGATCATTTCCAAATGGAAATGTAGACTAAGATGGATTGTACTCACAAACTGACATATTAAATTGAAAATACTTTATACAAGTTCTTAGAGATAATAAGTAAATATATATAATATATAACATATATTTTATATTTATATTGTTTATATTATTTATTTTAATTATATTTATATAATATATAATATGTATATGTCTTCTCTCTATATATTTTATATACAAATATATAAGTAAATATATATAAATAAAAGAAATCGACTAAAATGTTAGTGTGCACTATTAGAATATGCAAATTTTATAAATAAGAAATACACAATAGACTTCCAAAAATGATTTGAATTTGCCAATAAAAATATACTACATTAAGATAAAAAGTGTAACACATGTGTTGTGTATGTGTTTTACTAGAGATTAAAGACTCAAGCATACTAAGCAAGCATTCTACTTATGAGCTACATCCCTAACCCACTAATGGCTTCTCGACATCTGAAATAACATCCAATCCCCTTTGTGAATTAAAAAAATGCAAAACAGAAACAAAGAGCTATCAGGCATGAAAAATCAGAGAGAGCTAAGATAATTGTAGAGTTAAAGCTATTTGGGAATTCCATATAAGCCAATCCAACTTGTTGCCTCTTAGAATTTATCCTGCAGTTATAGTCATATATATATATAGATAGATAGATATAGATATAGACACACACATAATATGTGCGTGTATCTATATATACATATATGTGTGTATATATATGTATATATATTTAAAATGTGGAAGAAGACAGAGGCTAAAATTAGGAAAGCAACTCCATTTGCAATAACCTCAAAAAAATACCTAGGAATCAATTTAACCAAAGAAGTGAAGGCCTCTACAATGAAATTTTCAAAAATCTGAAAAAGGAAATTAAAGCAGATCTAAGGAAGTGGAAACACTTTCCATCATACTCCTGGATTGGGAGGATTAACGTTGTGAAAAGGCTATACACAAATTCAATGTAATACCCATGAATATCCCAACTTCTTTCTTTAATGAAATAGTGGAAGTAATGCAAAAATTCATATGGAACAATAAATGACCCCGAATAGCAAAAACAATACTTAGCAGGAAGAAGAGTACTGGAGGAATATCAATACCAAACTTCAAACTCTATTACAAAGTCATGGTAATAATAATAATTTTAAAAAACCATCTTAGTACTGCCACAAGAACAGGCCTGAGGACCAATGGAATAGAACTGAAGACCCAAATATGAACCTGAGGACCTGTGGCCACCTAATCTTTGACAAGGGAGCCAAAAAATAGGATGGAAGAAAGACAGCCTCTTCAACAAATGGTACTGGCAGAATTGGCTAAACATGTGTAGAAAATTAAAGTTATATCCTTATATCACCCTGCACCACAATCAATTCCAAATGGATCAAAGATCTTGAGATAAAAGCAGACACCCTAAAAATACCACAAGAAGGAATAGGAGAAACACTAGCGCTCTTGGCACAGGTTGAAACTTTCTTAATAAAGACCCAGCAACACAACAAATCAAAGGCTGGATAAATGGGATTGCATTAAACTACAGAGAGTCTGCACCGCAAAGGACATAGTAAGCAAGATATAACGAAACCCCACAGACTGGGAGAAGATCTTCACTAGTCATACAACAGAGCCTACAGTTCAAGAAATTAAATTCCCCAAAAACAAACCCCCAAAGAAACAATCGCCCCACTAAAAAGTGGGCTAAAGACTTTAAGAGAGACTCCTCTGAAAAGGAAATATGAATGGCCAATAGACGCATGAAGAATTGCTCAACATCTGTGGCCATAAAAAATGCAAATCAAAACAATATTTTGAGATTCCACCTTATACCAGTTAGAAAGCCATTATCAAGAAAACTAACAACAACAGATGCTGGCAGAATGTGGCCAAAGGGGAATGATAATACACTGTTGATGGGAATGCAAACTTGTCCAACAGCTCTGGAAAGCAGTATGGAGGTTCCTCAAAAGACTAAACATAGAGTTCCCTCATGATCCAGCAATCCCATTCCTGTGTATTTACCCAAATGATCACAAACAAGGCCATACTAAAGCCACCACCACAACCATGTTCACTGCAGCATTATTTACCATTGCTAAGATAGGGAACCAACCCAGACCCTCAGTAAATGAATGGATCAAGAGGATGTCTTACATATATACAATGGAGTTCTATGTTTCCATCAGAAAGAATAACACTGCTCCATTCATAAGGAAATGGAAAGAGGAAAAAACTTTCATTAAGTGAAATAAGCCAGACCCAAAGAAAAGTTGGTTTTATAATTCCCTTCATTTGTAAGAACTAGAATATATCTATGATATTATTAACAGGGGGGGTCTCAATAACCCAATTGCTTAGTGCATAGGACCATATATAATGAAGCATATCAATATTAACCCCAATTTAAAGTTCGTTTTAGGCCCCATATGTAGTTTGTTCTTTTTTCCCATTTCTCTTAGTTTTCTGTACCTTGTATCTTGTATATATAAGATTAGTCAATATGTGGAAGAGAAAGGGACTCACAGAAACAGCAGGACAAAGGATGAACCAAAGCAACATTGATACTCACTCAACACTATGTTGGATATGAACATTACAACTCGGGTGGGGGGAGGAGTGGATGGAGAGGGGTATAGAAAGTGGTAAGTGGGAGATAATGAGAGGATGGGGTAATCATGATTTAAAACAAATGTATTCATTACCTTACTTATAAAACTATAACCCCTTGTTCATCATCTTTACAATGCAAATAAAATATAATTAACAAAAAATAAAATAAATGTGGACTAGGATAGCCATTGCAGAAGTCCACCAAGAGAAGAAAATAATGTAAATGTCCTATAATTGAAGAATGATTAAATAAAGACTTCATATCAAAAACCATACAATGGGACTGAAGAAGAATTCAGGGGGAATAAAACCCAACAGCCAAAAAGAGAGAGAGAGAAAACCAAGCTAGGCAAGGTAGTTCATACCATTTATTCTAGAGGAAGAAATAGGGAGAACTGTAGTTTGAGGACAGCCCTGAAAAATGTGAGAGATGCCATGTCAGCAAAAATGCTAAATGTGACTGTACATACCTGTCATCCTAGATATAAAGGAGGAATAAGTAGGAAAATTATAGACCAGGCCACACAAGATAATAGCATCAGACTCTACCAGAAAAATTAAGCAAAAAGGGCTAAAGGCACAACTCAAGTATTAGAATGCTGGCCTAACAAGTACAAGGTCCTGAGTTTAAACCCCACTATTTGCCAAAAAGAAAAAGAGAGAGAACCTAAACTAATAGTCTAACTATGTAAGTCTATGATTATTTAATTCAGTTTAGGGACACAAAATCCCAGTTTCTAGAGAATTTAATAAATGAAATCTTTCATAAATATTCTGAAGATACTCTGATGTTGCCTATCTTTTGTTGGGAGTTTGTTAGCAAAGCCGAAGATTCTTTTTTTTAATAAGTTTTTTATTGTGAGAATACTGTACAGAGGGGTTACAGTTACATGAGCAAGTTAATGAGTACATTTCTTATCAAGCATTGTTGTCTCCTCCTTTGTTTTTCCCTACCATCCCTTCCTCCCATCTCCACAATTACACTCCCCCTCCCTCCCCACCCCTAAATTGTAAAGTTCATTTTTCCACATAGCGTCTTGTACATCTCATTGTTGCCATGGGTCAACCTGTAGCCCTGCTTAAACAATTTGTTTTTTCCCTTCCCCTCCCCAAATTATACCAACATCAAATACAGTGAAAACAGGGGTTATACTGTGGGGGAGGGACATACAAAGCAACAAAAAAATCACGTGATTCCTTAGAAACAATATCAAAGCTGAAGATTCTATTATTTTAGAAGAACCTGAAGAACAGAAATCTTGTACTTCTGGATAGAGGAAAGTAAATGTCAGGTCTGGCATTCCCTCATAAATATTTAGTAATAAAGAATACACCTTGTGACTTAAAGAGAGACTTCTCTGAAGAGGAAATAAGAATGGCCAATAGACACGTGAAGAAATGCTCAACCTCTCTAGCCATAAAAGAAATGCAAATCAAAACAACATTGAGATACCACCTCACCAGTTAGAATGGCTATAATCAAGAAATCTAATAACAAGGAATGCTTGAGGGGATGTGGACAGAAGGGAACCTTACTGCATTGTTGGTGGGAGTGTAAACTTGTTCAACCGCTTTGGAAAGCAGTATGGAGGTTCCTCAAAAGATTCCACATAGAGCTCCCCTATGACCCAGCAATCCCACTTTTAGGTATTTACCCAAATGATCACAAACAAGGCCACACTAAAACTACCAGCACAACTATGTTTATCACAGCATTATTTACCATAGCTAAGATATGGAACCAACCCAGATGCCTCTCAGTAGATCAATGGATCAAGAAAACATGATATATATATATACATATATATGAATTCTATGCCTCCATCTCAAAGAATGACATTGCCCCATTTGTTAGGAAATGGAAAGACTTAGAAAAAATTATATTAAGTGAAGTAATCCAGACTCAAAGAAACATAGGTCCCATGGTTTCCCTTATGTGCAATAACTAATACATGTCTAGGACAAGCAGAAGAGGTCAAAAGCTATGTGCATATGACCATATAACCTGATGTTAAGCAAAATGAACCCCAAGTTAGGGACACAAGAGTTTTATCTTTTTGGGGGGAGGTCCAGTCGTGGGGCCTGAACTCTGGGCCTGGGTGCTATCGCTCAGCTCTTCAGCTCAAGGCTAGTGCTCTACCACTTGAGCCACAGCACCACTTCCGCCTTTTTTTCTTTTTGCTTATGTGGTGCTGAGGAATCGAACCCAGGGCCTCAGGCATGCAAGGCAAGCGCTCTACCACTGAGCTACCTTCCCAGCCCAAGAGGTTTTATCTTTGTTGCTGTTCTTTTTACTGTACTTATAATATACTATGTGAATTTTTTTTTGGTTTCTTTGTGTGTTCTTCCCCCATGGTACAACCCCTGTTTGTCATCTTGTATATACATTTTTCTAATTTGGGGAGGGGAAGGGAAGGGAAATAACAAAATGCTGAAATAAGTATGCAGGATGAGCCATTGTAACAATGAGATGTATAAGACAGTATGTTGAAAAACGAATTTTACAACTTTGAAGAGGTGGGAGGAGAGAGGAGGAGGGAGAAGCTGGGAGGTGAGGAGGAAAGGGATGGTAGGAGAAAAACAAAGGACAACAAATGCTAACAGGAAATGGACTCATTACCTTGCTCATGTAACCCCTCTGTACAGTATCTTTACACTAAAAATATTTTTTTAAAGCACACACTTTGTAATGAGAAGAGTAGAGTATGAATTTTAAACCAACTGAATAATGCAGGCTATTACTTAAATGGGACTTTCTTTTCATCTGTATAATGAGAAAAATTACAGTGCCTAACTCAGGAGGCTACAAGTAACAATTGAACACAAAGCAAAGTAACTGCTTAGTGTAGACCTGGGAGATAGGTAGGACTTAATAAATATTAGCTGTTATTATTAGTTCAAAAACATAACCAAACTGCACCAAAAATGAAGTAAAAAAAATTTAATAATTGAGTGTGGGTAGGATTAAAATATCCAACACATAAACCAGAACCTGTTTCAACTTGTCAGTACATTCGTATGCATGCAGACACACATCCACCCTAGCATTTTCCAGCATGGACTTCTAAGTTAACATTTTTTGTACTATGCTTGACCTAGTACTATTTTTGTAACCTGGAACATGCCTGTGTTTCTCATTCCAAGATACAATGGGGGAGAAGATTCAGCTGATAAAAATAAACACATATGTTCCTTAATGACCTCTCTCATCTGTTTCTTGGATGACAGTGTAATCTCAGAAACCTGATCATTTATGCCATCAGTCTATGAGAAGTGACCAGTGTTATCCCTGTTATCTAAAGTGCACTTTCTTCCTATTTCACCACCATCCTGTGCTCAGACTGACCTGTGACTTGGTGGCCTGGAACCATTTTATCTTACTCATAGAAACTAACAGAAATTGAATAGTTGGAGGAGTGCTAGGTCCATAAATCAATTCCACATTTTTATACCTCAATGGCATATTGCACTGTTCTATGCTGTTTGTGATGATAAGAAGAGAATTTATTCCATCCTAGATAACCCTGTCTTAAGTTCTTAGTGTAAGGAAGTAATTCTCAAATGAGCTGGTATCAGAGACTGCTAGATGGATTATTAAAACAGATTTCTGATAGCTACTTCCAGAGTTTGACCCAGTAGGTCTGGAATATGGCCTGAGAATTTGCATTTCCAACAAGTTCCTGAATTCTGCTGCTGCTACTAGTCATAGGACCATACTTGGAGAACAACTGGCTTAAAGTAATAAGTCTTTTTCTAATGTAACAGATGTCTAGGGATATTACTTTTTCCTTTGGAAAACCCACAAGAAAGAAAATATGAATATCCTTTGGAGAAGAAATAATAGGTACACCACTAAGATGAGGTTCTCTAGATGGCTAGCAGAATGAAGAAAAGCCAGCACTGCCAGAGGCCTCACAGGACAATGATGCTGGGAATATGAGCACAGGACTATGAAGAGTGAATCTAGAATACGAACTTAAATCTCCTTATGTTCAGTAAATTTCTCTTTGCATTGAATGCTGTCCCTCATCTTATTTCTGTCTTTATTCTGGCACAATTTTATCAAGCATCTTAGTACAAATGATAGCTTTATTCAGATAGCAAAGATAAATGATTAAATAAAACAAAAAAATTGAATGCTCACACATTGGATGTTTCAGCTAAAAACTTAAACTTTCAGTTAAAAAATATTACAAATACTGCAATGCCAATGACACTGCTTATCAATTAGCCTTGGTCACTCAGAGCTCACATAAACTGCTCCTGATGGTTTTACGTATCATCGGCCTCTAAATTATGTGCTATAAAAGGTCACTATAAGTGACACACTCTAGGCCTATTCTTTCTTTTTTTTTTTTTTTTGGTCCAGTCGTGGGGCCTGAACTCTGGACCTGGGCGCTGTCCCTCAGCTCTTCAGCTCAAGGCTAGCGCACTACCACTTGAGCCACAGCACCACTTCCGGCTTTTTTTTCCTGTTTATATGGTGCTGAGGAATCGAACCCAGGGCCTCATGCCTGCAAGGCAAGCGCTCTACCACTGAGCCACCTTCCCAGCCCTAGGCCTATTCTTTCTTATAGTCAAGGACTCAACATACAGTTCCGTCTCATGAAAAAGAATCAGGCACACAGTAATAATACCAACTATCCAATAAAATGGAGATTTGTTTCAATCTAAAATTAATTTTCAATTTATAGTTGCCATTTAAATTTGAAAACATTAATGTATCTCATATGGTAATATTTTCTTTTCTAATCTCTTCCTCTAGTTGTGCTCAAACCGGAGGAAAACAAATGCACTTGCCACAGGGAACAAGGAAAGATGGTCCCTACCACAGCTGTCCTCACATAAATCCACTCACTTTAAAGAACTAGAACAACATCATAATTCAGTGCATGCCTACTTACAGCAGTCCACATGGAGTTTATTTGGATCATCGACATCCAGGAGTGGTTAACTTGACCACATATTATCATATCTTTGAAAGTAAGGTATGAGAAAATCTAAGTGCAAAGAAAAGAAATACATAGTTGAATATAAGTAAACTTTAGTGTAACTTGCCTTTTATATAATGTGATCTTTAAAAATACTAGATGTGCTCTGTATTCTTTGAAATGGTTTGAACCCTGTACCAAACCATTTATAATATACCTGTATGTAATATACCTGTATATACAAAATTTGCATAATACACCATTTTTCACAGTTCCTTATAACCATTTCTTACCACTTAAAGGACTATTCTGAGATTTTTTTATAAACTTCTTAAAAACATGATCTGAGAATGTTTTTAAAAATCTGCATTGTAAACCATATTCTTAGAGTGAACTGAACTCTGTACCACACTGTTCACTCTGTACAATCTACTTACTGTGAAGTTTCAAGGCAACTTTTTTTAAAAAGTGATTTCTTTTAAGTGGTGTCTAGTACATAGGAAGCATTCAGTAATTGCTGGACTGAACTGGGTTTCTCTAAAGTAATAAGGTTCTTAGGAAAAGAGGAATAAACTCACCTGACAAGAAAGTGTGGTGAAGTTGTTTACCTCATGGAGGCCAGGAAGTACAGAAAGAGACAGGGAGGGTTTCTGCACATTATATAGCCACCAAAGACACACCTCCAATGGCCTACTTCCTCTAACCAGGCCCTGATTCCAAAAGTTCCCATCATGTACCAGTAAGGCCATTAAATCATGAAGCTGTCAATTAATTAATACATTGAGTAGGTCAGAGTTTTAATAATCCATAAACCTCTCAGTGGACCAAATCTTTCAACATGTGAGCCTTTTAGGGGGTATCTCACACCCAAACCATAACATTATGTTATGGATACACTTTAAATACCTCCATCTGAATCATCTATGTATATTTCCATATGCTCTGCTGTTTCCTGTGATGAGGAAATATATCATAGCAGAGTAATATGGAAGAAAGATGCTTACTTCATTATGACCAGGAATCGGAAGGTACAAATATAAGCTTAAAAGTCATGTCCTAGCCAGGTGTTGGTGGCTCATGCCTATAATTCTAGCTACTCAAGAGGTTGAGTATTGAGGATCATGGTTCAAAGCCAGCCTGGGCACAAAGAACTACATAAGACTCTTACCTCTAATTAACCTACAAGAAGCCAGAAGTGGAACTGTGGCTTAAGTGGGAGAGTGCTAGCCTTGAGAGCAAAAGCTCAGGGACAGCAAATGGCACAAAAAAAGGCATGTCCTAAGTAATCTGCTTTCTCTAAAATTGGTCCACCTCTGAATAACTCATGAAGATATGAGTTCACCAATAGATTAATCCATTGATGAGGTGAGAGCCCTCATGATGCAATCATTTCTTAAGGCTCTACCTTTAAGCACTGTGCACAGGAGACTAAGCCTTCAATACATAAGTCTTTGGGGGAACCCTTCATATCCAAACAACAATGTTCTGTTTTTCTGAAGAACTCAGATTAATATAGGAACATAAAGTGAGGAATAAAGAATCAAGACAATTAGGAAGACCTAATTATGAGTCATGTTACATCTTTTAAAACAGAAAAAAAATCATTTCATGGAAAGCTAGAATAAGTGGTTAATGGTACTGTCTTCCTGGAGGATAAAAGCCCTAAAGAAAAAGTTCCTAAATAAAATATTTAAAAGTATGGTATTTTTAAATGTTTAATTGAAAGTAATTCATATTATGTAGATGGTAATGTTTAGTTTAATGGCACCCAGATGTCACAAGGGAACTGTGTAGAGGCAGTACTGAAGGAAAGGGAGGAGAAAAAGAGTAGATACTGAAGGGTGGAAAGGATAGGAGGACATTACATATATATATGGACACAATGTAATGAAAGTCATCAAATAATGTTTGAAAAGAAGTGGGGGGAAAGTCTAGAAAAGCAAAACACCATCCAAACCACCAGAAAGGAAAAAAAAAAGAGGGAAAAGACAAAAATGTAAAATGGCATACATTCTTTGAATACAAAAGTGACAGTAGCCAAAGGCACAGTGGGAATACAGTAGGAATTAAATTCAGTGGGCTTAAGAATCAGGGTACATGTATCACTCCCTGTGGTTCTGGAAAATGACCTCTTCATGATGCAAACAGTGTTATAAGGAAATCCTTTAATTAGGAAGCAAACCACAACTGGTGCAGGGAATTATGTGATCTGGGTATCTCCACCTAATAGGGGGTGCTTCCCCATGCAAAAGGATTGACTTGAACCTGGAGTCCACCAGACACTCCAGGGTGTGTTTATCCTGTTGATTCTGATCTCACTGACTTCGATTCGGTATTGAAGTACTAACTAATAAATTATGGGGTTATACACTTACATTGTCTGTGTAGTTCTCTCTCACACTGCAACTTCAGGACCAGGAAAGGGGAGAACTCAGTAGCTGGGGGGAGCTGGGAAGGTGGCTCAGTGGTAGAGTGCTTGCCTTGAATGCCTGAGGCCCTGGGTTCGATTCCTCAGCACCACATAAGCAAAAAGAAAAAAGCTGGAAGTGGCACTGTGGCTCAAGTGGTAGAGCACTAGCCTTGAGCTGAAGAACTGAGGGACAGCGCCCAAGCCCAGTGTTCAGACCCCATGACCGGACCAAAAAAAAAAAAAAAAGAATACAAGCTGGGCACCAGTGGCTCACCCATGTAATCCTAGCTACTCATGAGGCTGAGCTCTGAGGATCACGGTTCAAAGCCTATCTCCTATCTCCAATAAACCACCAAAACCACCAGAAAACCGGAAGTGGTGTTGTAGCTCAAGTGGTAGAGAACTCACCCTGAGCTGAAGAGAGCAAGGACAGCGCCCAAGCCCACAGTTCAAGCCCCACGACAGGCAAAAAAAAAAAAAAAAAAGAAAGAAAGAAAGAAGAAAGAAAAAAGAAAATGTGATATCGCCGCATTTGTTAGGAAATGCAAAGTCCAGGAAAAAATTATATTAAGTGAAGTAAGCCAGGCCCAAAGAAACATAGGTCTTATGGCTTCCCTTATTTGCAATAACTAGTACATGTGTAGGACAAGTAGAAAAGGCCAAAAGCTATGAACATATGACCATAGAAGATGATGTACCCCAAGATAGGGACACAAATTTTTTTTCTTTATTGCTATTATTTCTAACCTATTTATAATTGTACCATGTGATTGTTTTGTTTCTTTGTATGTTTCTCCCCCACGGTATAACCCCTGTTTTCACTGTATTTGATATCTTGTATATACACTTCTCTAATTTGGGGAGGGGAAGGGAAAAAACAAAATGCTTAAATAGGGATACTGATTGACCCATTGTAGCAATGAGATGTACAAGATACTATATTGAAAACAAACTTTACAACTTTGGTGGGTGAGGAGGGAAGGGGGAGTAGTTGTGGAGATGGGAGGGAAGGGATGGTAGGGGAAAAACAAAGGAAGAGGCAACAATGCTCAATAGGAAATGTACTCATTACCTTTCTCATGTAACTGTAACCCCTCTGTACTGTATTTTTAGAATAAAAACATACAAAAAAAGGAAGAAACAAAAAAAAAGAAAGTTCATGAGATTCTTATCTTCAATTATCCAGAAAAAGCTAGAAGTGGAGCTGTGGCTCAAGTGGTAGAGTGCCAACCTTGAAGAAACCAAAACCAAAAACAAAAACCTAAAGGACAATGCCCAGGCCCTGAATTCAAGAGCCAGGACCAGTGCATGCACGCACATGCATATACAGTGATGGGGGGAGGGAAGGAGAGGGAGAAAGGGAAGAAGGGAGGGAGGGGGGAAGAGAGAGAGAATGAATCTGAAGTAACCAAGGCAATCTATTACCTGGAGCTTTTTACCTGCCCTTCACAGAGCTGGACCCATTCACAGCTATTAGAAGAGTAAACTGGAAATAAGCAATGAGAAAGAATGAAAAAATAAGATGATAGCTATGCTTAAATAATTGACAACTTGGGTTTTTACTCCTTGTGGAAATAGCAGAAGGCTCTAGAGACAAAACATAATGAGGAAACATTTTTTTCTGCTTTGATATAAGAAACAACATCTAATCCTTCCCCAAATGGCACAGAATGCATTTTAGAGTCAACTAAGTCCAACATAAAAGCACTAACTCTGACACTGGGCAAACATTATTTTTAATGGAGATGCTTCATTCCCTTGGCCTCTTATCTCCATCTGGAAATACTTCAGCAACCCTCCCCCTCCCCCTCTCCAAGCGTATTCCTCCCCAGCAAAAAAGGAAGGACCTAATTAGTAAGTTTGAGGGTGAAAAAAATTATCAGGTCTGCAACTGCTCTTCCTAACCCTGGTCTGCTCTTCACAGTATAAAGTCCAGCTGTTGTCCATCTGTGCAGGGACAAAGAGGTGAGTCTACTTGATTCAGGAACAAAAGATAAAATACTGCCTTGATCAATTATCTTAAGTCATCATCTGCTATCAGATCTATCTGATAATATTTTGGTTCTGGCTGTCTACTTTTTAGTTGGGTCCAAAATCAGATGAGTTAAAGGATGACACACTCTCTAAAATTTTAAGGGGCTGGGAATGTGTATCCCTGCTTAAACAATTTGTTTTTTCCCTTCCCCTCCCCAAATTATACCAACATAAAAATACAGTGAAAACAGGGGTTATACTGTGGGGGAGGGACATACAAAGCAACAAAAAAATCACGTGATTCCTTAGAAACAATATCAAAGCTGAAGATTCTATTATTTTAGAAGAACCTGAAGAACAGAAATCCTGTACTTCTGGATAGAGGAAAGTAAATGTCAGGTCTGGCATTCCCTCATAAATATTTAGTAATAAAGAACACACCTTATGACTTAAAGAGAAACTTCTCTGAAGAAGAGAAAAGAATGACCAATAGACTCATGAAGAAATGCTCAACCTCTCTAGCCATAAAACAAATGTAAATCAAAACAAAATTTAAATTCCACCTCATTCCATTTAGAATAGCTATAATCAAGAACTCTAATAACAAGGATGCTGGTGGGGTTACAGCCAAAAGGGAACCCTGCTGCACTGTTGGTGGGAGTGTAAACTTGTTCAACCACTCTGG